TGACAGGGGTAGGGGAATAATAAGGGTTATAAAATTGACAGTGAGGAGGGTGTAGCAGTCCTGGTGAGGTTCAATCAACTGAAAAGTGTCTGAGGAATTACTGAGAGGCGATCAATGGGTATAATAGTTTGGGCAGGAGAAAAGAAAAAAAAGAAAGCAAAAAATATATATATAGGTATAAATATATATAATTATATAAATATAAGTATATTTGTCTATACATGTACATATATATAAATACAATAAGGAAGTATTTGAACTTTGGGCCTCTACTAAAATCTCACCTAAGTATAAGAACAGTTTGTTCTAGTAATATGGCAACGTATGATACTCATCTTCCTGGCATGAACGCTAAAAACAAAATGGGTGCATAAGCAAATGTAGAGAAAAAAGCTGATGGTGCCTGGCTATTAAAAGATATAGTGTCTGGGGTTTTAAAGGTTTGTAGTCAAACAAGCAGCCATTGAGCAGGGAAGCAACAAAACCCACATGGAAGAAGCACACCAGCCTTTGTGATTATGAGGCATTGACAGGAATAGGTCTCAGAAGTTCAAAAACAAGCAGTCAAACGGATATGAAGGAGTGTAGGCAAAGTGGAGAGCCAAAGCCCACCCGCAAGACAAGTGGACTGGCCCTCACAGAGGGGCTTGGCAGGGGGCACGGGGAAAGATGAGGAAGTCAGACTGTGGCATAACTCTGATGAACTCATAACTATCCTCTGGTTCTTTACTATTTCCTCCACTTACTGTTAAGGCTTAAGTTTCATCTCACTTAAACTATTACACCTACATATGTTCAGGCATATAAGTAAGATTGCTTGATGCAGGAATGCCAGGATGGATGACCCTACAGAAATAGCAATGTGAGTAATGATTCCCTGAGGATACCGAAAGGAGAGGGGAGACGGGGGAAAGGGGGAGCTGACAGCAACCATGACTGTAGAATTCTACTCGAGGGGAGAGAATAACAGAATTCCAGGTTGGGGAAAAAAAAATGTAGACATATAATGGTACATTTATAATAATTTATAACAAGGGTAGGAGAGGAAGGGGATAAAAAGGGAGCTTATATCAAAGAGTTCAAGAAGAAAAATGTTTGAAACTGACTGTAGTAGCAATTGCTCTGTAAGAGCTCCCAATAAAATGATGAATAAAAAATAAATAAAATAAAATTTATATTTTAGCCAAATATTTGTTTCTATATCTGAAATTATTCCAAATCTATAGAACAGCAGGAAGACAGTATGAATTATTCCTATACATCTTTGATTCTGATTCACCAACTATTAATTTAGCATTTTGTTCTCATTTACTTTATAAGTTGCTCTCTCATTGTGTAGAGGACAGGTGAATCAACGAAATTTTCCTGAACCTTTTTTAAGGGTGAATTGCTAACACTGTGTTCTTTTCTCTCTAAAGAACTCTCATTTCTACTGAGTTGATTCCAACTCACAGTAACCCTACAAAATAGGTAGAACTGGCCCTGTGGGTTTCTGAGACCACAACTTTTTCCTGGAATAGAAAGCCTCATCTTTCACCCACCGATTGGCTAGTGGCTGCAAACTGCTGACCTTGATGTTAGCAGCCCAATGTATAGCTACTCTGCCATCAGGGCTCCTGAGAACAGTCTCTTACAGTACAGACTAATTAAAAAAAATTAATATATTTTTTACATATCAGGCAATCCATAGCCCATATTCAAGTAACACTAATTATACCTATGATATCCTTTAGTTATTTTCCTGCTCAGAATTCAATGAGCTGTCACACTGCACTTAGCTATCAAGCCTTGGTATTTTCAGTAGCCTTAGATGTATGTGAAAGTTGGACAATGAATAATGAAGACTGAAGAAGAATGAATGCATTTGGATTTGAGTGCTGGCAAAGAATATTGAAAATACCATAGGCCGCTGAAAGAACAAATCTGTCTTAGAAATACGGCCAGAGTGCTCTTTCGAGGCAAGGATGTTAAGATTTCATACTTTGAACATGTCGAGACCCTAGTCCTTGGAAAAGGACACCATGCGTGGTAGAGCGGGGCAGCAAAAATGAGGAAGGCCCTCAACAAGACGGGCTGACAGTGGCTGCAGTGATGGGCTCACACTTAAGAAACAATTGTGGGGGTGGTGCAGCACCAGGTGGTGTTTCATTCTGCGGTACCTGAGATCGCTTAGAGTCAGAACTGACTAGACGGCACCTGTTCTTAACACCAGCAAGGCCTCTCTTAGTTTCCGGTAATCGGAACAGCGGCTTTGCTGTTGTCTTCAACAGCCTTGGCATTTCTGAAAAGTAAGTCATTTTACAGAACGCCCTTTAGTTTGAGCTTATCTTGTGTTTCCTCAAGAGTAGATCAGGTTAGAGATTTTATAAATGAGTGCCACACAAAGCCCTCTTTTCAATGCATGTCAGATGTCAGATGTCAGTGTGACCTTTGATCAATTGGCAATTGTGCTTGAACAAGAATTGCTATGATTGGTGTAAAAGAGTGATCTTTAAAAAAAACTCCATCATTTCTTCTACACTTTTGGCATTCCATTGTTAAGTGAATACCGGATGTGTTCCATTCACTGGATTATAAACAAGTGACTTGGGTATCTCACTGTAATCTAATTTGTATTACTTATGTAATCTAATTTGTATTCCTTTGAACATCTTTTCACGTTCAAAAGTCATTTTTATACATCTTTTGTGAATTATTCACTCAGGCTTCTGGCTCATTTTTTTTTAAAAATTGGATTTTTGCCGTTCCCTCCCTCAATTTTTAAAAGTTCTTCATATAAAAGGCCCTAATGCCCTTTATGAGATACTTTGGTAGAGGCTAGTGGGGAGGGCAAGACTAGCCTATCCACCATACACTTACACTCTCTGCCATCAAGCCAATTCTGACTGAGGAACCTGTAATCAAACGCTTGAATCCTTGCCTATAGGTTGCGCTCACGGTCATCTTGTCAATGTCAACTCCTAGCAACCCTATAGAGACCTTGCCCTGTGGGTTTCCAAGACGGTAAACTTTTATGGAGTAGAAAGCCTCATCTTCCAGAGTGCCTGGTGGGTTCAAACCATTGGTCCTGCAGTTAGCAGCCCAACAGGTAAGGAGGGAGGGAGATAGAAAGGAATGCTATTCTCGACTCTTGAAATACTCTGAATATCAGGCAAGAAAATTACCGGTTTTCTTTTCTTTTTTAACCATAAAGACTAATTGTAACTATGTATATATTTTTCTTCTTCTTAAAAAAAAAAAAACCCCGCAGGATTCCTTATATCCAGTTCTGACTCCTCGCCTCCCTTGCAAAGCTTCGCAAGTAAACGCCTCCCTTCACCTGGATATATGTACCTCCTTTAAAAACAAAAACAACCCCCACCCCCAATGATTCAAATTAAACATCTTAAACGTTGTCTATTTTGGGCCTATAACCCACCCGGGTAATTAGAATTCAACACCAGACTTCTCCTGAGGTATGGGCCTCTGCTCTCCTTGTTGGTTCAGTGGTTTGAAAAATCCAAATGCAGAAACCTGGAGTTGACTGCCCAGTGCAGTTCCCACGGAGAACCCGGCTCTGCACGGCAAGTCGCCCGGCGAAAGGCTGGCCTCGACCGGAGGCCTTCGTTGCCTAGGCAATGGCAGTGCACTATCGTCTCATGGGGTAAGCTCAAATGCCTCGGCACTCAATGCACCCCGGTCGTCCTGTCCCCCAGAAGTCGGAACCTGTTGTTTTCTTTGCTGTCTAAAAAAATCCAACAGATAAAATACCGGGCTATCCCCTCCCACCAGGAAAGGTCGCCCCTGGCCGGAGGGACGCACAGGCTCCTCGGCGTCGCCCGGGCGCAGAGCCGTGGGGGCCGCCCCGCGTGGAAGCAGCTGGCCTTCCAGCTGTTCAGCCCCGCCCGCGAGCCTCACCTGCGGGTAGAGGTGCTGGATGAACTGTTCTCGCGAAACGCCCTCGAGCCGGGGCACCGCCAAGCGCTGCGCGGCCATCTTTCCTCCAGCCCACTCCATTACCCGCTTCCGGTCCGTCCGGAAACACGGGCCGCGAAGAAAAGGTTCCGGCGGCCGGTCGGCTCGCGGAGGCGTTCTTCTCGGACACGAGCGAGGGTCGGCGGGTCTCGGAGCGACACGGCTGTATGCTGGCAGAGGAAAGAGGGGAGTGGAAGGCTCTACAGAGCGGG